AAAGAATATTTTTTAAAAGACTGAATTATTTTAAATGTATGTGAATACACAGTAAGATTCAAATAATTCAAGAATAGGGGGCAGTTAAATGCATCTCTTGTTTCTACACTGACAAAAACTGAACCAGTTTCTAAACTTTTGTTCAAGCCCAGGAACTTTTACAGCTTCAGAAAACCTGTATTAATCTAATACAGTATCTTTGTGGCACTTCCTAGCACCTAAGAGAACAAGAAAACACAGCATAGACACCTGTGAGGAGCTCACAGAGGGGCTGTACACGGGGCAGGAGATCAGGGTTATCAGCTGGGGGGAATGGGGAAGCTCCAAGCCAAAGGCAGGATCAGAGGAAACAGAGAGGTTTGTCTCACTCAGCACACCCACATCCTGAGACTACCTGACACCACTGGAACCAAGAAAAATAAACTCCTGCACAAAAGCTCTGTCACCACACCAAAATACGACACGGATGACAAAGATAACTAACTTCCTTTGGACAATATGGCCACACCAAAAAAAGTAACTCTCTAAAATTAGAAAGTATTTGAACTTTTAATACTAAGTGAGGGATATTTTGTTTATTTTTATTAGAATAATAGGAAATAGTTATTTTTAATATTTAATCTATGTCAACATCCCCTTTAGGTAAACTCCCATGACAGTATTGCATTAAGTGCTGTTTTCCTGTTTAGCAATCTCTCACAAGTTAACTAAATGCCTTGCAAAAATCATTTCAAAACTAGCTTGCAAAGTATTAAAGATAAAAGATAAGCATTAAACAGATGACATCTTCTACAAATCCATGATAATCCTTTGGTTTGGGTTTTACATTTCTGGTGATAAATTACTTAAGTTCTTGTCTGATGACGATTAAATATTAGGATTAGTACTTTCTGTTATGGATCACTTCTATCGTTATTACTTTCGCCAGCCTACATTAGCCAAGAGGCAGCATCTGAGGCGAGTGAATGACTACAGTGAACAGCTCTGAAGCCCAGACTGAGCTTCACTGCTCCATCCTCTGTCTCACTGTCACCAGGGACTGAATGCTCCGCTTCAGGGGAACCCTGCAACACACCAGCACACCTCCTTATTCATTTAGCACATTGCCTCTTCTAGCTCCATTCCCTGCAGCTACAGTGTTTAAGTGTTTGGTGCCTGCAATAAAACCACTTTCACAATCCTTTAACTGTAGCCTCCCCTACAGTTAAAGGCCAAAAGGTATTACTTGATCCATCTCTTACATTTCCTTTTCTGATGGCACACACACAGGTTGAAGTAACCCAAGTTGTTAGCTCGTGGGAGTTCAAACAGCAGAGTGAGTTTGAGGCTTGACACAAGAGCTGTTAATAGAATCAACATTTTCCTGCTCAGTTCAAAGTGAAAAAAACCCCTGGACATGCATATCCCTGAACCTGAATTTCCAACTTCATACAAAGCCCTGTAATTTTTCATAGGGGACCTCACACCAAGACACACCAGCTTCTCACACAGGAGCCCAGCAGCACTGAGCTGGCAATCCAGAATAGAAAGGCTCAACACTGCTTAGCTTTTATATATGCAAGGTTTATACTTTTAACATCTGAGGCTCACTTTCTGGAAAGTGTAACTGACTGAATCAGCTTCTGTTCTTCAAAGGACAACTTCCTCTAACCAAATATACATATTTTCATAAACATACAGTAATGCAGATGAAAACAGCCAGCATTCAAAGGTTCAAACCCCAATGTTTTACAGCCTAAAGCCACTGAGACATCTCTTTTGCACAGGCATTATCTCCAAAAAGGTAAAGGGGCAGAATCCACAGATCTCGAACACATAAACATCCACCCACGAGAACAGCTGAGACTCAAGGTGCATGGCTGGTGATGGGACAAAGGCATGTGGTTCCCCACACAGCCAGCCCATAAAACACAGCCCATGCCATTTCGTCAGGCACCTTTGTATTGCAATGCTGAGCATCAGTCTCAGTTTCTACTCCTGGCGTGGCAAGGCAACAGTGCTCCTGTTTGAATTCGGCTCCACCAAAAAGCAGCAGCTGGCACCTCAGCATCAGTCACAATCCCTCCACGCTTTTCATGTGGTTTATAAGGGGTTACCAAAGACTACCAGGGAGCATCACTGATGTGTGATCTGCATTTATTCTGAAAAAATAAATATGTAACAAAATGGAAAAGACTTGATACTTACATCAGACGACTGACACCTACTCCCAGGTCTGCCTGAGGCATAACCTCTCACCTTCCTGTTCTTTGGAGCTGCTGAATTTTTAAATAGCCCCCAAGACACGAAAACTTGGTTCATAGAGAAAGGCCTGACAAACATCAACTGCAGCAAGAGACAAGGCCAAAAATCAAACAGCCTGCCCTCAATGAGACCCATTCACAAAGCCTTCGTCCACCCTTCTCAGTCTCTGTATTGATTAAAAACCCTGCAGTAAGAGTCCCCTGACCCATTCTAAGACTTACTGGAAGAAAACATCAGATCAGAGAGTACAGGAGCTGCAGCTCAGGTCTAGAAGATGAGGGATAAGGGCCATATGAAGTTCAAACAGCTCAACTAAGCAGCACAGGCACAGCAGCAGCTCCAGACAGACTCTGCAGTCAGTGGACAAGACAATTTCCATCCTAATGCCAACCCTGCTCTGCCTCCAATGCCTGTAACTCACTACCCCACAAGGAAAGGTGAGCTAGCTAGCGTTTCTCCAAGACCCCAAGATCCTACGATACAGTAACTTGACAATGGAAATCTACTATGATGCAGTATTAGTTTACTGACAAAACTCAGATTAGGGCACAACTCCAAGCACATTTCACCAACTGAATCATCTTCAAACCATGGAGACTTCTCCAGGAGTTATTGCTACAAGCTCTTTACAGTCTCAGCCACAAATTACAAGCAACCAGTAGAATTTCAATTTCAACAATTTTTGAAATTTACATGTAAGTGATCATGTCCAGCAGAAAGGGAGTCTGCTTTTCAAAAAAACCACAGAATCTCACTAAGATCATCGGATCTTGAACTTGCAGAACACAAAGGTAACATTCCCAGTAAAGTCAACACTATGTAGAATTGTCCATTATAGATTTTTGATCCAGCAACAGTTCCCTGTGTTTAAAGGGTAAAATCTGTATAGGGCAGAGTGCACCACTGGAGAGAGCAGTCTGCAGCACTGTGGAGTGCAGGCACCTCAGGAATACCATAGTTCAAACATACTTAGAGAAATAAATATTAATCTTGATTCTCAAAACTACTTTAACAAAGAAGACAGAGCACTTTAATAGATTTATTAGACAGAAGAAGACTGTAGTTTTAATTCATCAAAAATAAAATTAAGTAATAGTGGTCCAAATAATCAACATTAACCTAGAATTCAAACTGATGCAATGAGTTAGCCATCTCAAAAATACTGTGTAATATCATGACAACACATTTCTAGTTCACTAAAAAAAAAAAAAAAATAATATATATAAACCAAGGCTCTGGTCTAGCAAGTGCTGAAAGTCACAAGTTGTAATGGTGCAGAGGAAAAACTGAACTGAATTTCTACCACTCGGAGAAGCCCACCCTTTGTGCTCCATCCCTCAGATGAAATATTCCCTCAGCACATGTCATTCAAGCAGGCACTTGAGCTCTCAAGTAGACGGAGATAGCTTTTGTACCATTCATATCTAGTGCAAGTCTCAGAGCTTTGACTCTGAATAGATGAACTACATTTTTCCTTTTTGCACTCTGAACTTCCACAAAATGCCACCTTGGTAGCAAGACATAGCTGAAAGAAAGAATTAATAAGATATAAAATAACTGGATTTGCAAGCAAACATTGATAGAGACACAGACAAAGTAGAATAATTCACTCTACTGCTTTTTGCCAGCATGCTAAAAGTGAATGGCAATTTGTGTTACCATAAATAAAAAAGAGAACCACAACACTGAAGTGTTCCAGTGTTATCTATTTCTCAGTGTTTTAAAACCCATGGCAGGCTCAGAAGTTAGTTTCCTCCCAGACATCTGCTTAGCTGCCACCATCTCTGCCGAGGAATAGGTGTGCATGAAGCAGTGACAGGAAGTCAAGTATATATAGCCTCTTCTTGAATTATTAATATAATCTTATCTCGATATCTGAAACCAACTTTGAGTCACCGTAACAAAACATCAGTCCAAACTAAAAATCGCATTTAAAACAGGGCTAAATTAGGAATTAAACTTAGGCATTAAATAATGATTCCAAATATCAACTTAAAAAGCCAAAAAATAAAAGGGCCTGAATAAAAAAAAAAAAAAAAAGAAAAAAAAGAAAAATAGTACTACACAGGCAACCAGCTATCAAGATCGCGACTTCTCACGACTAATCAGTCTCTTCTCCATTCAACTCTGTCAGTCACAAAAAGCTGGTAAGTGCAGCTGACCGGCGCTATCAGGGCTTCTTCGCCCGCCGCTTCCCGCAGCCCCTGCCCTGCCTTGGCCGCTCCGGGCGGGCTCAGTTCCCCGGCCCGGCCTCCGCTGCTCTCCCTCCCCACCAGCCTCCCCAGCAGCAGCCAGAAAAACCACAAGCAAGAGGTCGTTTGATTTGTAACCCGCTCCCATTAAACAGTAACGCGCACAGATGTTAAATTGCTGACCCTGGCACTACAGCGGGAACTTCTCCTTAGCACGGCCGCCCCATGACGGCCGCCCGGGACTCCCGCCTTCACGGAGGTTTCGGGAGCCGCCAGCCCGGCGCTGCAGCTGCACCCGGGACGGGACACGCCGAGCCCCGGCTGGGCGGCCGCAGCGGGCAGGGAAGGTGCTCGGTGAGCACTGCCCCGGCTCCGACCCCGCTCGGCGCCCTGCAGGCGCGGAGGCTCCGGGCTGCAGCCGGGCAGCGGCCGCGGGCACATCCCACTCCCGCAGCCGCGGGTCCCGCTCCGCGCAGCCACGAGCCGCAAGGCAAAGCACGCGGAGACCCCGAGCACAGCCCGGAGGGCACGGACACGGGCAGGGACCGCGGGCAGCGGCCTCACCTGGGACATCTGAGGGCGCAGGTTGATCTCCTTGAGGTTGATGGAGTGGCTGCGGAGGTTGTTGAGCAGCTGGCAGAGCAGGACGCCGTCGCGCAGTGTCTGCGCCAGGTCGAAGACCTGCGCCGTGTCCCAGGTCACCCGGTGGTTGGGCGGCAGCACCTTGCAGCTGATCAGCCACTGCCCGCACTGCTTCCAGGGCTCCATCGCCGCCACCGCGCCGCGATGCTGCGGACGCGGCGGCCCCGGCTGCGCCCTCCCGTCAGCGCCGCTGCCGCGGCCGGCCCGTCCCGCCCCGGGAGGCGGCTCCGGCGGCTCCCACCGCCCTGCACCGCCCCCGCCCAGCCCAGCCCAGCCCAGCCCCGCTGCAGGGCTGAGCCGCCGCCACCCCGCGCCCCGCAGCTCCCAAGGGCGGTCCGCGAAGGTGCTGGTCTCGTCTGCTCGCCCCGTGATGGATAAACACGGCACCTGCGACACGCAAGGCGCAATCTGACAGGCAGGTGCAGACAGCAGCGCAATGGCATGTTCTGCCTTACTGCCAGTCCTTTGTCCTTTCGCTACGCAAGCAGCAGAGCGCTCAGAAGAGGTTCAAGCAGAATACTCTCAGCGACTTCTAGAAACGATAGAGAACGCATCATGGCATAGCATTGTTTTCCATTTGTTCTCCGCTAAAGTACTTTGTAATTACTTCAATTTTATTTGCACTTTAAATCATGTTTAAAAATATGTAATAACTTCCAATAAGCATTCAGACAACTTAATTTTTTTTTAAATGCAAGTGATTTTAAGTTAACAAGTGTGACGAACTCCAAAACTAGACAACACAAACACCAGAGTTCACAATATCCTCTGAAATTCAAAAGCTATTATTCCTTTTTGATTTTCGAAGCAGTGCTGCTAACTTAATTTAAAAAGAAAAAAAAAAAAAAAAACAAAAAAACAAAAAACAGAAAAAGAGTTTTTGTATCCTTTTAAAATATATTAAAACTTTTTTTACCAGAGAACCCTTTAAAAGTACTATTAACATTTTTGTGAAGGGAAAAAAGCACAACACAGTCCTGGGTGAGAAAGCCTTGCAAGAGCCAAATAGTAACATGGTTATTCAAGATAGTCTATAACTATTGCTGGTTTCCACACCTCCTCCGTTAAAACCCTGACACATATTGCTGTCTGAGCTCAGAATAATCCCACAAATCCTTTTAATAATTTCTGAAAGAATAATACAGACATTATGGGAATTCATTTCAGAAATTGAGGCCTAGCAAATGATTTGCATGTTTCAGTAAGGTCAATATGCTAATTCACATTTTTTCTTTCTTTAAACAAGCAGTATGTCTGCTATTCCAGGCATTTGCCTGAGCAGCCACTGGCTGCAGAACATGCCAAGAACAGCTCAACATTTTGCATTGCATGCACCCAAAAAGACAAAGAGAATCATGGTCCAAAATATAGGATCCAGCTCCATGATCTGTAAGAGATGTGCCACTGCCCAGCAAGGATGGGATGAGGCAGGTGTTACTTGTTACCTCCTCAGAAGGCACAAGTGCTGCTGAAGGTCATCTGGGAACACATTTGTTTCCAGTCTTAAAGATGCACAAAGCTGCAAACACCTGGCTTGGTTTTCATCCCTCTGCGTGTTATTGGGGCTGGCAAACCAAGGAGGCTCCTGGGTCTGACCAATGCAGGAACTCACAAAGCCTCCCTGATATGTCAAAAACATTTTAATACAATGCAAACTCCAGTTAGCAGCAAGCAGTTTTGCATGAATTAAAAGAGAGATCCTCATTCCGAAGGACTGGTGACATTGTAGCTGAGCTTTAACTCTTTAAAATAATATTTCATGGGAGAGTGACATTAGGTTGAGTTGCCTCAGTAGTGCTTCCTTCCCAGCAGGTCCCTCCTGCTCTATGGCTACCTGGGCAGTCACAGCCATGCAGGTCCCATTTCTCAGGAAATATGAATTCTCTGTTTAACAACCTCAGTGCAAACACTGGCTCACCAGTATCAGGCACCTCTGCCTCCTCAGGCCAACATTTGGTTGTTTTATACCTGAGCAGCTGGATGAGAGGGCAGGTTGCAACACAAACATGCTATAAAAGTATCAGACTGTTTGCAACCAAACAGAATTAGAGAGAATTTCATTCCTAATTTAAATCAAAAGGGACTGAAACTAACAATTTGCACTGTGATCATTTGGATATCATCAACCATCAAAATGAACATAGAGCAGTTTGATCAAGACTACAATAAACACTTTCTCATAGAAATACATTTTTATCTGTGACATGTATGAAGTGATAAGTGAGTAAGAATTCAGTTGTGCCCACAGGCTATCCACTCTCAGGCTGACAACAACCGTAACACTGAAGCAAAAGCTGAAAGTGGAAAAGCAAAATAGATAAAGGAAACAGAAAACCATCTTCACTACATTATCCACATTCCCACTTCATCTGCCTCCAGCCAGGATTGGTGGTACAGCACACCAAGCAACAGTTGGGATGCCTTTGCAGAGATACAGAAAAACGAGCGCTGTTCTGATTCATAAATAGCAAGAAAAACACTTCAGGCTAGTTGCTCAAATCAATCTAATCTTTTTTTTACATGGTTAATAGGAGCAATCCAACACTCCGTAATCCAAAATTTACATCCAAACAATACATATGCTTTAAAGGTGATAATTGAAGTTCTAAATATCTGAAAAACATACACTGCAGTTTTAAATTGTTTCTAAGTCATAGGATCTTACAGTGGAATATCAGAACCAAATTTCACTGAAAACATACTGGTTTCTCTGCTATATCTCATATAGCAGATTCTTCCAAATGGCGAAGAATCCACATAACCATTCCAGAAAAATAGTTCTCTGAAAGAACTACACACTTGAGAAAAGAGAAGGAGCAAATGGATTCAAAGCCAAAATTCATGGTCAGCACAGTCTTGCTGCAGCAAAAGGCAGAAATATTTGCACATTCATTTTCCTACTCTCATAGTACTCTTTACCAGCCTTCTTCAGCCTCCTACAGCGACCTTAGTCATTTCTTGGAAGAGGTTCAACTTTTCTTTCAATCCTAAAATTTGCTGCTGTTCAAAAGCTACTTTTACATGGGCTTTTTTTCCCTGCTATTAATAGAGAAGAAAAAAAGGAAAAAAAAAAAGAAAAGTCTATACCTCAAATATGAAGTGCATTAAATAACCAGTTGCTGAAGATATACTGGAAGTTTGTCCTATTTCTATTCTGTTCTTCTCCCCATACCACACAGATGTATCAGGATTGAAAGAGGGGCCAATTTACAGTCGCCTCAGTCCACCCTCCACAATTTCATCAGGACTGATGTGGCAGACAGATCTCAGCTTAGATTTTCACAATGTTCAATCTAGATCACTTATTTTTTTAAACACATCAATAAGCATTTGCTGATGCAGTTTTTCCTTTAGATTTTCTATTAAGAAAACCTTTCAGACATATATTCCCCTTTCAAAATACTGTAAAGCAGTGACATAAAAATAAACAAAAAAAGAAACATATTAAAAGAACAGCAAGTATGAAGGAGAATCATTTCCAAAAGGGACCCAAAACTCCATGGTTTTGCATGGTTTTTCTCTTCTTCCAGGAGACAACTGTCTCCTTACTGGTAACATAATAATATTTTTTTCTTTACTTATATCCTGTACTGCATCCTATGAAGGTGGCTGTTCTCCAATTCTTTCCCTGTTGCTTTACTTAAAACAAACAAAACTAACCCGCCTCAATTTGTTCAATAAGGGCATATTTGCAAACTTCCTGAAATAATTACTTCCTGGTGTCACCACAGTTGCATTTCAACTACTTGTGTTTCTCAGCTAGGGGATAATTAATGAAATACAAAAAATAATAAATCAATACACACATCCCCTCTCCCTCAGTTACTCTTACAGATAAAATAGCTGCCATGAGCCCTAGGCACCAACCCACTTAGTGCAAGGTAACAAACAAGGATAACAAAAGGTGGATTCATCAATTCTGGTCCTTAAAGTTTTCCTGACTTCTGATGATTGCTCTTGAGTGCATTTTTAAATGCTACAGGCAGAAAGAGGTGCAAGCACAAGCAAAGAACTGCCCTCATTTCTGGGTACCAAAGGTCCACTAGAGTCTTGGCTGAGCCAGCCATGCTCAGGGCTCATGTCCCAGCTAGACCCACTCAATTCCTGCAGTAAAAGAACTGAGTTCCACATTATCTGCAAGTACAAACATGTAGTCTTCTGTCTTGGTCATTTGTATCTTTCTCACATTTAGGCACACATTGCACTACCACTGCTCCTGGCCAGAAGCCTCCCTTGAGCCTCTTTCCTTTTGGCTGGGTGGGAATAACAGGCAGGTGGCCGTGGTCCAGGGTTTCATAAGGAGCCTACTTATCTTGCAGTGGAAGTAAGTGAGGGTAAGATGGCTGACCAGAATTCTTCAGTAATTTCTGGCTGCTGCACATGAGTATCAGCATAGACCAAGATCTTCCAGATGCATCTGGTTGCATACTAAAACTAGAGGCTCCAGTTTCAGAATTACTTTGGGAGCTTTGCACCACAAAGTGAGAAAGCAGCACTACTTGATTCTTATTAATCATTTGTTTGTGTTATTATCTTACACTGCAATACCATCTGAATTTCAGCAAAACATTATGTTTTACTTGAAATAACTGTTTGAAGTAAGCATGGAAGAAGTCATAAACAAAAATTGACCTGAAATCTAAATGAAGCATTGAAAACAAAAGAAAAATTAGACAAAGGAAATAATAAAGTAGGGGGATTTATGAAGCTCAGTATTGAATTTAGTTTTCATTAAAAACCTGGAAAATGCAGAGAAATAATTTGATATATCAGTGTATAGGTAGTTATAAACTGAAAGACATTCTAAATGCTAATATACCAAATGAAAACCAAGATACTGTTTTCAGCAAAAAATGGCCTGAATACATAAAATGCATCAAAGCATTTGAGAAATCAGTGATTCTGCAAGGGAAGTTCCACCCAGACCAGTCAATGTGAAAACAGGCAATCTTTTTGACTGCTTTAATGTCTTATCTCTAACAGCTAACTACCAAATAGTCATGTTAGGAGTTGAAGGCATTGGCTCACCTCTCCTGACAAAAACCTCCTTTTTATTGAAGTTAACAGCAATTTGTCCCATTTTGCTGTCCAGAATCCTATGGTGAATTACTAAAATGGGACATTTGATTTTCAGAAGGCCAAGTTTCACCTTGCTAAAAA